TTAAGAGTTATACCATAAGTATTTCCCTAGATGTTTATTATCAGTTTTTTATTTAGTGGGTATTTAAAATCCCCCCACACCCTCCTGTTATTTGCGCCCCTGCCCATGAGTTGGAACAAAAATCAAACCCAACCGGAACCCACCCACAGAGGGACTAGCTGGATTATGGGTGACCCATGGGTTGGAAAAAGAACATTTTCCGACACTCTTATTAAGAGTTATACCCGAAGTATTTCCCGAGATTTTTAATAGCAGTTTGTTATAGAGAGTGTATTTTTTTTTGTTTAAAAGAGGAAAAGTAACTACATCGTCTGACGGGCGTCGATTTTTGAATTAGGTCTTAGTTTTTTATCAAATTGAGGATTTCTAGAAAATCCTGAAGGCTTTTTCGGATTTTGGAGGTTGTTGGTTGTTGGTTGCATGGAAAACCAATAAAGGCTTAATTGAAAAATCGGCGCCGGTCAGACCATGTAGTTAGATGTCTAGCTTAAAAAAAAAAAGAAGCAAACTCGAACTCTCCAGCTTGATGTATATTAAAAAATTAAGCTGTTCCTTTCATTTTTCTCCCTTGTTCTACAGTAGTATATATATATGCATGCAGTTTCGTTGTTAAAGTCAGTTTTTTAGTCGCTACAGTGTGCGTCGAGCGCGTGTTTTCATATACTCGTTTTTTTTCATATTAGTTTTAATAAACATATTCATTGAAATAGTTTGTCACAGCCGTGTAGATCACACAGAAGATAGGTAGGAGACCCCCTCAGTTTAGGGAGAGTTTCTGATATCGGATCAAGCGACATATAACAGTCAGACCATGTAGTTAGGTGTCTAGCTTAAAACAAAAAAACAAACTCGAACTCTCCAGCTTGATGTATATTAAAAAATCAAACTGTTAAGATATCTGCGAAATAAGATATTAATTTCTGATTAATTAGTTCTAAATAGTGCTAATGAGCATTACTCTGGTGGCTTACATTATTATTTATTTATCAGTGATTTATTAGAAATCGTGAAGTAGTAGCATCGGACGTCTACGAGCCTTATTATTTTATTGCGTATAAAAATTTTTAAAGAATCCCTGCAATGCTAACTTTCATGTGGGCATACTCCTTAGCAACCGACTAGTGTAAATATAGTGAATACATAATTGACGCTGTCATGTTCGACAAGCAAAACAACTATACTTCGAAAATACCCAAGCGAAACCTGTTGACGAATAATGAGTAGCTACCTAATTTGAGTTAAAATACGTATTGTGTTCTATTTATCAACCAGCAAACAAATCAGTAAGCCTTGACTATGATGTTAGAAATTTCTCTCGCTCATCCATTTATATTTTTTTCTCTTTTATAATCTCTCTATACTGTATCGTATTATATATCTTCATTGTAGCATAACCTTCAGGTACATGTTGAAATAAATCAACTATAGTATTTATTTATATGTAGGTAGACAGATAGATATTCATATATACCGGAATATTATGCTATAATGAAGATATAGAAAGATTTGTGACATTGACCGGAATTGCTGCGAGGCACTCTTATAGAAGATGACAAAAGACTATAGCGATAACAGAAAGAGAAAAATATAGAACAAGAATAGTGAATCGTAACTGGTGATACAGCCTATAATTATCAGTGTGTAATACAGAATGATAGTGGTCACTAGGAAAAAAAATTGTTATACCTCGCCTAAGGGTCCACCTACAGTCAACCTGCAGGGCAGGGCAATGCAGAAGTTTTCACTCTCAACCTCTGCCTGTGCAGAACAAAAGATTTTTTAGATAACCTGCAAACTGGAACGCGGATAAATTTTATTTTGTCCCTACACGGCATCGCGCAGGGGTGAAAAATGATGCAGGTGTTCAGCTCTGATTCGTATCCACTGTTAACACTACAGTTTCCAGTTTTGTTTTCATTTAACGAACCGTTAACTAAATAAATGAACCAAACGCTCAAAATTTCGGTCTAAACAACTGACACGGTTGCGGTGTGTATTATATATCAAAGGAAAGCTCTTTCGAAACTCTACAAAATGGCCGGTGATTCATTTCTAGTTGAAAGTGCGAACGCTCACTTTTTGGGATTTTACTACTGAAGGGTGATGTTTTCAAGCATACTGATGGATAATGTTTCTGTGTTTTTACCATGAAACAGCCTAGATTACGGTCTACATTATATATCAAAAGGAAGCTCTTTCAAAACTCTAGAAAATGCTATGTAATTTCTTTCTAATCGATACTGCGAACACCGACGTTTTTGGATATTATTCAAATTCAATTTTGAATAACAAAAATTATTTCAAAGAAATAATTCTAATTATGTAATATTCCGATTATCTAACGACGAATTAAATCTCTGACAGTTGTGAGAATATTCTTGCACAATTCGGTCATATTTCACATAATTCTACTATATTCGGCAAAATTCTGAAAACATTTTTATAATTTCTGATGGGATTTGGCTAAATTCTGCAGGTCTCGGCAAACTTGTGCGAAATCTCTGACAATTTCGAAAGTTCAAAAAGAACTTTGCATCTCTGTTATGTTTTGAGAGATTTTTTGAAATGGACCTTTCACCGTGCACTCATCGTTCTCTTCACTGGTGTTGTGCACGCAGCGATTCAGTACATTCCCTGTTATGTGTGGTCGGAAAAGAAATAATCAGAACGGTATAAACTACCGCTCTGTGCATCAGGTATCTGTTGAATAACCTGTACTTCATTCTCATTCTCTTTGTCTCTAACCACCTTTATTCCACTGTAGCTGCGAAAAAAGTCAAAAAAAAAGCCACTTTGGCTTTTTGATCTGTAAATTTCGCTTGCTTATAATAGAGAAATACACTTACAGCAAAACCTACACCATAGTACGGAAAGCTTGTTGCTGAAAAAATAAGATCATTCTACTATGTCTTTTTCTTATAGGTTACAGAGCGGCGTTATTATGAAGTCTTTCTGATATTCTCATTATCTATCCGGAGCTTAACCAATGGCCAACGATAGCTGTACCAATGAAAGCAGGGAGTATTTCGTTTCATAGCGGTCATTTAATTCATGATCCCGGTGCTAATATGACACCTGGACGAAGAGCAGCAATGATACAGATGTAATCAACAGTATAAGAAAACAGATTTATGTACAGTGTTGTAATTATGTCTTCTTCATTTAGGATGCCTGATAATATGATTTTTAATGGTAAACAAAATATTGTAACAAAGAAACAAATGACTGAATTAAAAGCAGGTGTTTCTGTTTTTAATGATGATAATATTAATCCTATATTATACAAAAAATTAAGGTAAATTATGATTGTTTTAAGGGCCCCCTCCCCTCTAAAATGTTTTTTTTCCCACAACACTCAATCTTACTGAAATTTTTATTCAATATGTACCTGACCATTGATAGTTCTCAGTAAAAATTTGAGCTCATAATATTGAGTTTTTCGCAAGTTGTTGTAACATCAACGGTCAAAAAGTAGGTGTCCGTGTGTCAAAGATTTTGTTTTCAATTTTAATGATACGGACCTCGGGATGGTGTCAAAATGTAGAGAAGGTCTGCCCCTATAACCTAACAAAGCCGGATTTTTAAAAAAAAAATTAATTTTTTTAGACAGTTTTTTCGAAAAACCTATTTAATTTTTTAGAAAACTTGATTTTTTTGTAAAAAACTACATTGAAAACAAAAATTCTGGCTTTGCTAGATTGTAGCGCTGAGCTTTAGCTTCATTTTAAAACCTTCCCGAGCTTTCTAGCATTTAAAATGGCGGAGAAATCTCTGACGCACAATCAGGTAAAACAAAAAAAACAGTTTCGAGAAAAACGCAAAACAAGTTTCTCGTCTGATTATCGAGCTTTTTTTGGAAAGTGGTACAGGGAAAAAACTGAGAGCAGCTCGTCGTAGGTTATCGGCTATGGCGAATCGAATGAGCACATGTAGAGACATGTGCGACGTACTTTTTCCCATATGTAAGCGTTATTCCCACGGAAAAACCATAAAAAATCAATCAGTTTTTGACGTAGGGTGCCTCAGAAAAACCGCTGTAAAATCCTCAAAAACGATCGTAAACCAATAAATCATAGTGCTTTCGAAAGCAGATATATTTGGCTATACAACTATGCATAAATGCTCAAATCGATTTTTTTTGTCGAAAAATGCTTTTTTTGAGGAGTGGGGGCCTTTAATAAAGTAGTTTAAAATAAGGATAAAAAGCTCCTAAGAGCCACTGCAGATAAGCCATGACTAACCGTGCTCAATCGACTTTCTCCAAAGTTGATTTCAATTACATACGTCAAAAGTACAATTAATAGCAAGTTTTTGGCCGCAAATTGCAGCTCTACAACCCATGTAGTTATTGAGATATTCAAGTTTTAAGAAAAGTTGCCATTTTTTTATAGTGCATTAGGATCAATCAGCGTTTAATCTTGAGTGTGTTATTTTCTAACGGCTTAACTTAGAGACACGAAAATTTCGGTACAAATACAACTTGAAAACAGTGCAAGGCCGGACTCCAGAGGTAGTTTTATTATCAAGGAATAGATGACGCTACCGCTCCTACTTCACCATTCATTATCTCCTGCATAACCAGCTCAGTAAGGCTCAGCCTTTTAGGGTAGATACTAGAAGAGTGGAGTGTTAAAACGGCAAAAGAAAAACTTTGGACTTCAAAGAGAAACGCGCGATATTGCATTTTAGTGAAATTTCGGCATCGACGGATAGACTCAATCCATATCAAACCTACCACCATTCGCATGGACCTTTGACGTCAGTGATGAGAACTATATCATATTATAAAGCTCAGCAAGCTGAACCGAAGGGTGAAAACCGCGAGTCTCTAGCCTTGTTAGAAAAAAAATTATAACCATTTTATCCTCGTAGCGGAAAAATGCATCCTCGTGATTTTTCGGCAGCTTTCGCCCAATTGTGGATCGTCTGCGGACCACATTACCTAACGTAGAACGTTGCCATTTTCGAGCAGTGTCGTATTTTCTAAGACACTTTTTGACACAAGATCTTAGAAACTTGGTCAACATACCAAGAACTTCACTCAAGAAAAGTTACGAAGAATTATACGAAAGACGAAGAAAATGAAAGCTTTCTAATTTGGTATTTTTTTCGACTGGAACGTTTTTCTTCTGCTATTATTTCCTTAAAAAGTGTCGCAAGACTGAGAACGCAGTTCCTTTGGTACTTTTGAGTGTGCTCTTTCTCGTTGTCTGGAAACAAACTTTTTTAGAGCAGATGGTGTGCTGGAGAACGAAGCTATTAAAATACGTCAAAAATTGACAGTCCCGCATAGCCGACAATGTGCCTAAGCAAGCAACGGAAAACATGATCGAAGTTTGGATTTTGCAGTTAGGTGAAGTAAGAGCAATCATTTCTGATCAAAACCAAACAAATGCGATGTGGTTTGAAGGAGTTATGGGGCTTTTACCGAAAGCACCACTATGCCCGGAAATTAAAAATCAGTGAAAAACAGAGATGTCGAAAAATGCTTTTTTTCCAACCCATGGGTCACCCATAACCCAGCTAGCCTCTCTGTGGGTGGGTTCCGGTTGGGTTTGATTTTTTTTCCAACCCATAGATCGTAGGGTTGGGTTGAGTAACGCGAACCCACCCATTGGGTTAAATCCTACGTTTATTCACCCTAAACTTGCTTTTATATACTGACACATATGCAAGTTTAAATCTATCTATGTAATGTTTGTCCATAAATATGAGATCGTTGTGTAGAATATAAGATAAAAAGGTATATATTTTTTATTTTCATATGGATAAAAAGAAAATGTTTACCATGGTTATGAGATAAAATAAAAACACGATTAATTACTAACAAAGAATAGAATACATAATATATAGAAGTTAGATTAGTTGCACCATTATATACATTGACACTATTAAATCCACATATAGAAATCATTACAAGCAAAAGAATAGATAAAGACATTTGTACAAAAACTAAACTACATGTGATGTTCAACTTTTTTACGAAACGAGAAAAATAGAAAAGAGACGAAGACTAGAGAGAGAAATAAAAGACGAATTAAGCTATATGTATGTATGTATGTTACACTTAATCACTAGATCGACCAATAAATATTAAGGTACTGAGGAATCATAGACGAACTAGCCATGGGTATGGGT